TCGTCCGGAAATGTACCACGTCCACGGTCCGACTTTGAAAATGATCATGTATAGCTCAAAAATTTGCCAATCCAGCTAAATTTAATGTTAATTTAAGACCCATATTTGCAAATCGCTGTGTGTAATCTCGCTATTTTTCCTCGTCTGGATTAAACAAAATGTGCAGCCTATGAGGTAAAATGCAGGAATATTTCTTATCGAATTCATTCCGGTTGTAGAGCTTCATTAGGTGGGAGTTTCTATCTTGGTTAAACCACCTAAAATGATTTTTTTACTTTGACAAAATTTCTACTGTCATAATGGATTTTCAAAATATAATTTTACATTATCTACAGATATGAAAATTGCTTGTAGAAGTATATAAAATTGAAAGGAAGCACAAAAATGTTTACTAAGAGAGCTGGATGAAAGTCGGAATCCGTCTTCTTTCAGAAAGGTATATTTCATATTTTTATTACTGTGAAGACCTTACTTAGGGCGAGGAACTTTGTCCTTGTTGTGATATTTTGTTAAAGCATATACTAAGTTATGTTCCTAATCTGTCAACCTAAGTATATTATCATGGTCTCACATTCTTTTGATAGACTTGGATGGATCTTTTGTTGGCGCATTATTTTGTGTTATTTATTAATGTTAGCTTTTTGCATAAAATTCTACCAAGCAGGAAAGCTGTTGATCAGCGGAGGGGCCACCGTACAGTCCTACTTGTCCATTTGAATAAGAAATTTTGTGATAACTAAACAGTCATAAAATTCAAGTTTGTTGTTCCGTTGAAGAATGTTATCGTGTGTCTTCATTATTTTTTTTACTTTATTAACATTAAATTAATATTTACTAATTAATGTGATGGAGGAGCCTGCAAATCACTGCACATTTTCTCAAATTGAAGCTTTTACCATATTTCGCGGCGCACAGTTTGGGAAGCACTGTATTAAAGGATTATTTGAAAGCTAATTTTTCTGCATATTTGTAGATAATGTTGCGTTTGTAAATTAGAAGGTGCTGAGCGCATGCTGGAAACTGGCCTCAAACTCATTGGAATGCTGCTTATGCCTCCTACTGAAAAGCGCGAAATTATGGAGACAATTAAAGCCAACAATATTATGTAGTCGTAGTGATTAATTTCTGAGGGTTTAACAGTTCACTACACCGGGATGACCGAGCAGTTAGGCTCTCTTCTAGCAACTCCGAGGAACGAGTTAGATTTTTGAGTTCGGTTCTTGCATGAAACCGTCATGAGAATATTTTACAGCTTGGTAGATGCTTCCACCTGAAGTCGGTTGTAAACTATGCTTCACTTCTGGAGACTGGGACGGTTTGATGGAAAGTATTTATTATTTCTATATTTCTTTTCTGTTCAACATTTGTTCCATGTTTTCAGATCACTGATCCGACGGAGGACTTTACTTTACGAGTTACGAGTATCTTTGTCGAGGCGAAAGCAGACACTGAGGCAGGCATCCTGGGTTCCACTCGTGCCATATCCTGTTGGAATTCCATCCAACTTGGTCTTTCCTGTTGTGGCGCCAATAACTACACCGATTGGTTGACAGTTAAAGAGACAAATTCAACTCAACACAACACGAATCTCACTGTCCAAGCACCGATAACAACAACAACAGCAATTCCAGCTTCATTGGATCATCGTAAATTGCCTGGAACTTGTATGTGTCGGCAAAGTGAAATTGGTTTGTCCACAAATGAGCCCAACATTTGCCAGTCTCTTGATGCTTCCAGCAGTCCCGGCATCTCGAGCTCCTCGCCAGTCTGGGTGATATCTCGAGGCTGTTCTAAGTTGATTAAGCAAGTGGTACTCAATCATCTGAACTCCACTCGGATTGTTTTACTCTTCAGCTTCTTCCTCACCTTGGCCACATTTATTGCAGCCCTGATATTCACTCTGAAGACAGCTCATCTCTCTGTTGTCGAGAGGTTCACCAACACTATCACTAGTGCTGCCACGGCGACAAATAACGCAACACCTGCAAGTGACAGCAACAGTGTTGGGCCCGATGTGGTTGACGAAGAGTGGATTTCAAGATTTCACTTTCGAGACTCGTTCAACAGCAGAAGAATGCCATCCAACGTCTGCTGGTGGCCTGACGTACGCAAACAACTCATGACGGTCTCGCTGCCCACTGGCAACCTTTCTTCAAGGCGCCATATTCACAAGCGTTGTTTCCACCTGCATCGCAGTCATTCGGCCGTGGATATGTCAGAGGATGACCAACCAATCGCCAACACGTCTCGCGACCGACAGCAATTGTGTTGGCAGAATAGCGACGACTCGGCTACGGCCATGGCCAGTCGGTTTTCACGTCAGGCCTCGATGGAGAAAGGGGCTCGCCGCATGAGAAGTTTGAGCGGCGGTTGTACCCGAGGCGAGCTGACAAATGCTGATGTGCACTGGCTCCTGCGGGAGAAGGGGCTCGGCAGTTCTCGAGGCCCGACAGGTCAAATAGCCTACGACCGGCCAAGTGACAAAGGTGACTGACACCGGACCATGCAGACATTTGTATGAAAATTGGTTGATAATACTGCTGTAGATGTGAAGTCGAAGATGTGCTGGCCTCTGTTTCGGTCACAGCCTGGTCTAGTTGAACGCATCTTGTTCGAATTGCTCTGCTGTGTTAGTTGTGATAATTGCCACAATCAGACCGTGACTTGGTACATTCCCAGACGTTTTGACCGCATCGTCAGTGAGCCTTACTGGTTTCGGAACTGTATTTTTCTATTTAACTTGATTT